TTTTGTTTTAATTTCGTGTTATGTGGCATGGCTGGATACATCACTTTGTGGAGAGCACTGGAGACTGATTTGAGTGGTAATTTGATGGATACCATAGGAGGAGAGAAGATGGCTGAGCTTGATAATTTTTTGCAGGACAAAAGTGTACTGGGAGTTGTGGAAGAAAGAGAAGGCCAAGGAATAAAAATAGAGAGAAAAGGTAGGGTGGAAAATATGTGAAGAAATGTGGAAAAGGTAAAATTAGTATCCCAACCAGCACCTAGGGCTTGATGTTAAATGTTATATATACATTCCTTACAGGCACGGAATCACCACTAAAAATCTGGCTTTTATGTCCTACTAGTAGTGTAGGGTCACCATTTCTTCAGTGCAGAACTATAAACTGAGTAGAGCAACTCAGACTGGCAGGGGATGGGCAGAGGGAAGAGGGTAAACATGAAGGAATGACCATTCTCTGCTTCCAGTGAAAGAACAGTGAAGTATAAAACGAAGAGCTCAAACATAAGGTTTGCAATAGCAAAAAATGACATTTCTTTGTAGAAAACCTCATAGAATCATATCGTAGAATCATAGATCATGAAGCTCCAACTCTCTGTTGCAGGCAGGGCCACCAACCTCCCCATTTAATACCAGACCAGGCTGCCCAGGACCCCATCCAACCTGGCCTTGAAATCTTCAGGGACGGACAGAGCATCCACAGCCTCTCTGGGCCGCTGTTCCAGCACCTCACCACTCTCATAGGAAAAAACTTCCCCTTCCTTTACATCAGTAAACTTGAATTTGTTGCCATATGACTGCAAGTTGACATTAAAACTTACATGGGTTAAAAAAGCAGTCAGACAAAAAATTTGCAAGAAGTCATCAAGGAGCACTAAGCAGAAATCTGCTTCCTCTGTGGTACAGGTCACAGGAGAGTGGAAAACATGTCTGGGAAATACTAGTTTACTCTTCTGATTCTTGTGTTACTCCTTTGTCCCTCTGACCACTATATGGGCTGAATGGGCTTTGATGTGGCCTAGACAATTATTCCTATGTCCATACCATAAGACCTCTTTTCCAGTCCTGTAATCAAACGGTTCTGGTTGGATTTTTCCTGTGGAACTCTTGGTCTGGTGACCTGAGAACTTAGTCATGGTTCAAAAAAAGCCACTGTCAGTGAAACAAAGCCATTGCCCTTCCTGCGCAGGCAGCTCCATCATGTAGTTCAAGGTTGGGATGCCAAACAAAATGAGATGAAATACTAATTATGGTAAGGCTTAAAAAAAAAAAAAAAAGGCTATCTGCCCCCATGAGAGTCCAAGCCTCCAAGCAAGTCTCATGTGGAACAAAAGTAAGTTGTCAGATTTGAATAATTTCCCTGCAATGTAGATAAATCCTCCCATTCCTACGCCTTCCCCCTACCTCTTGCCTCCCCCTTCTCTTCAGTTTTGCAAACAAGAAAAGAAACACTAGGAGCTATTTCACTGGATAACCATGCAAATGAAACAGGAGATTTAAATGTCTTAGCAAGGAGATCAGAGACACAGTTGGAAACAGCTGTGAGGGGCATTGGAATGATTATAAGGGAATAGGATGGGTGCATTATTTGGCTTGGTGACTTCATTAATGATATTTGGCATCAGATGCTCAGCTAGAGTAAATCAGAATTCCTCTGTGCCTCCTACTGCCTCTAAGGATTCCCTTCTTTGTCCTGAATATGAATTTCTATATTATTCTATTTTATTTTTCTCCATTTTGTTGGTCTCCAAGCAGCATCTTGGGAGAATTGGATTTTAAGCTGCGAGATGATGTTTTGTCCGATGGATTCCATCTCTCTGGTCTGCTGTACTGAAGATTTTGAGGTCATATCAGAGTCAAAATATCAAGGTTTGATTCACCTTGCCCACCTACAAATGAAATGCAGGGGCTTTATACAATGCCAAACAAAAAAAATCTCAGGTTCTTCCCATCTGAAATAGTTGTTGGAAATGTATCAACTGTATCTATTTGTCCACAAGACAATTTTAAGCAACTGTAAAATTCTACAGGAACCATCAGCTATGAATTTCACGTGCTTTCTGAACTTCTTCCTGAAATCACAACAAGACAGCTGTTCTTCTTCTCTGTTATTTTTTAGATTATTTTTTTTCTTACAGAAGATATGGAAATATTGTTCTGCCATCAAAGCTCAAGGCTCTTCATTGCTTTTATTGCTTTTAAATTAGAGGAATCTTGAGCAAAAACTAGAAGATTCCTACTGAGAGCAATTCCCATTTGACAGACATATATTTTGTATAGGTCACACCGTCCCCTGGTAGCATTTGAATCAATACCATTCAGCCTTTATTTACTTTCATACTTATGTACTTACTTATTTACATTTACAGGAGATGGGATAAAATAAGCAATTCTTTGAGACATTCTACTTGATAACAGTCCAAATTTTCAGGCGTTTCTCTTGGTGGATGTGTGTCTGAAGATGGAAGGTTTAACAAAGACAGACACGTCGCTTCCGTGCATTCAGCCAGCAGACATACAAACTTCATACTTCATCAGACAAAATAATGAAAAAATCACACCTGCACTCAGCACATGGATATTACTGGGAAAATTTCTACCAATAACCACAGCTTCCAATTCCTTTCCTAAAAGATGTTCTCACCTTGCAGGCCAAGAGAACAAGTCCCAAGCAATATACAGTCCTTGGTTTCCCCTGCCCACCTCCTTGCTCTATTTGCCAGATTTCCTTCCTGAGTCATTCCCTGAGTTGTAACACTATACATACAGAGTAGGTCCCAGTAGGGTTATAGAGTCATAGAATGGTTTAGGTTGGAAGGTATCTTTAAGACCATCTAGTTCCACTCCCCTGCTATAGGGAACACCTCGCACTGGTCCAGGTTGCTCAATGCCCCATCCAGCCTGGATCAGTCCTACTTCTTTTCTTAGCAGTAGTAATATTCTGCCACAATGCCCTCCATACCAGTCAAGTACCTTACATAAAAAGAAAAGGCCATGAAGAAATGTTTCAGATTCCAAATTGTTTGTTTTGGAAAGAACTGAAATGACAAATTTCTGATTGGATGAATCACTTGTCTATGAACTGTTGGAAAAAAGACAACTTTAGTCAGTGTTCTCCAAAAATTTTTGGTACATGGATGATGAGCATTGACAGCTTGAGACATATAATTTTCAAAGAAAGAAAAAAACTAAAGCAAATGCGTGCATACATTAATAATACTGGATATCAGAGGAAAATTAGAAATGAAATGCACATAGCATTGCAAAGCTTTCTCTACTGGAAGATATAACTAATATGGATGACAGGCAGGAAGACTAAACCAATGGTTAACCCTCTGGGAGCCAAGATGGCTATTTTATTTTTATTTCTTTCTGCCCTCTTTTTGTGTGCATGTAAACAAACTGATGGCCTTCATCTCCACTTGCACCACTCACTCAAAGCCATGGTGCAAAACATTGTTTATATCTGGAGGCTCAAGTTGAAGGAGCAACACTGGAAGAGTCAGTGTAATTATGCAACAAATGGCACAAAGCCCTGACCTAAAGAATAAGCACAGGGAGGCATGTAGAATGCAATTCTTAGCATGATAGTGGTATTAGAAGGTCTTCATGGGTAGGGAGTCATGTTGGTATGAACTGAAACGCTGTGAGGTGCAAAGGATTTCTTCTGTGTGGTGACATAAAGGCAAAATGATCTTTGTGAATGTCTTGATCTGTCATCTTACAAATGGGAACCAGCAAGCCTTTGTTATGTACCATGGCCTATTGTGTGTAAAGAAAATGTCCACATTTTGAGCCCTCAGAGCTTTCATTTCTCAAAATGGTGCTCACTAGATGACTGCAGGCTGGAGCCGTGAATCCATTTTGCCTTATTTACATGAATTTTCCACAGAGTCCTTCAGAAGGTATCCTACTTAGCACTTCCCAAAGGAAATTATGTGTATAAAATTCATGAGAAACAGTGCTTTCTCTAGAGCATTGGTAGACATCTCTCTATTATGCGATCCAGGAATATTATAAACCAATAAATAAACCTGAAGATGAAGGATATTTGCCTCACCGATCCTCAGAGGCATGGGGAGAGAATGTGCAGTGCTTTTGGAGGATAGTCTTAGTTTTCTGTTCTCTCTGAAGCTTCCATGATGGTTAAGATCGAGGTGGCATTAACGTAGCCTCTGAAGCAAGCATAATTCAAGAATATGACTCCAATCTGTAATAATTGGTGTAATACACATCTTTTATTAAGCAATGTCAGTGAGACTTATATGTATCATATATGATGTATAGATTGGAAAGACTCACTTGCATTAAGCCATTGAATTCCTTCTCTACTCAATTTTTTTCACCTACTAAATCACAGAAGGGTCAGAGATCACCTGAAAAGTGAGTGTATATCTGAGTAAACTTAACAGAAGTGTAAGGTATTCAAAGTTGCTTGTGTAGATTTAATTGACTGTCTTTTGCCTCAGATTATGTAGGTCCACCACTGTTGGTGCTCCATAGATTTGACAAGGAACTAAACTAAGCACGTCTTCCCATCCCTGCAGACAGCCAAGGTCAGGCTGGATGGGCTCTGAGCACTGATGGAGCTGTGGGTGTCCCTGTTCAGTGCAGGGAGTGGGACAGATGGCCTTGAAGGGTCCCTCCCAACTCAAACCATTCTATAGTTCTATGTTGAAATGGCTTTGGAAGAGGGCTTTGTAGCCAAAGCTTCTCAATTTTCAGCACAAACATAAACAGAAAATTAACCACATTTATCCTTTACAGTTCATCTAAATCTGGACATCCAGAGAATTAACCATGGGCTTGGATGGTCTCTGAAATAAGACCAAAAGAGACACAGCTGGCTGTTGTTACATCCATTATTTACCATTTTTTTGATTCACAGAATCGACAGAATCAATAATAGAATGGATTGGGTTGGAAGAACTTGATGTGTTATTTATCATAATAGAAACAGTATCAGTGAATTAAAATCACATTTTTAATGTCCTCCTGTGGTGTTTTTTATTTCTTTCTTTATTTATTTGTCATTCCCTGAATCTCTGTCTCATTAGCCAGTTGATTACCAGCTTTTAGATTGCTTTTGGGTTTATAGGTGAAACATCACTAAAATATCATCTGGACAAAAAATGATCCCCTTTGTGACCAGATTAGAAACAGAAGCTCAGCAGTGACTTTTGGGACAGACTGACCAGGGACACGGTGGAGTCACCATCCATGAAGGAGTTCAAGAAGCTGTGGCACTGAGGGACATGGTCAGTGGGCACGGTGGGGCTGGGTTGGGATTTGACTGGATGATCTCAGTGGTTGCTTTTTTCAACCTTAGTGGTTCTATGGCTCTATGATTCTGTAAACATATTTTGAGCCTGCCAGACTATTTTTCATCCACCATCCACTATTCCTCTAGGTTTGCAATGCAAAATATCATCACGCAGTAAGTCTGATGTCCCACGGTTTCCGATTGTTTTAATAGCATTATCTGTATTAAGTGAACACGTAACCTCATAGAAAAAAAAACCCTATCAATGTAATTGGCAGAATCTATTTTCCACACGCATATGTTGAGAGGCATTCACTAGTTGTACCTCTCTTTCTGAGGATGGGGGATTTCTCTCTACGAAGAAAGTTTGCCACACTCCATACAGCTGCATACACCGAATTCAAACGCCAATTGTCAATTCTCCTCCTGGAGCCGACTGCAGTCTGAAATGGCCCTGCAGTTATTTTATGCTTTGCTCTCTCCAAATCAAGACTGTCCTGTCTAGAAATCCAAGGAGGCCTTTCTCAGTCTCTATATAAATAATTCTTTCATACCGCCAACATTATTAGTCATAGTGTGCAATCGGTTCTGTATTAGAATAGTAAAGAAGCCCAGTGGCGGTGTGAAATGACTGATCTCCGGTGTGGATGTATCTGGAGCACTGAGTCCCAGCACCCACCTACCTTGAGGCACGGGAGAATTTAAGTTGGTGAGGCGGAGGAGGGATTGGTGATATTAGGGAAGCTGGCAATTTGTGTGATGTGACAGCTCTGCTGCACAGAACTGCACCTTTTCCTCCTTTAACCCTCAGCACCTTGCAAGTAAAACCAGTATGGCTACGTTTATTATTTCTATTTCTGTATTTCTGTTATGATTAAAATCACTGTTCTTACCATTTTGTTTCAAGGATGCCAGGATTCAACCGTGCTTGGAAAATAATTATTTTGCAACAGCATCTGTGCAGAGGACCCTGCAGCCCAAGTGGGCAGAGTGGACTGCAGTATGGAGAAGCTGTATTAGCATTCTCATTTTGCTCATGAGGAGCTGAAGGGCAGAGACTTTAAATGAGTGGCCTAAGGTTGCAGAGGGGAATTGGTGGCAGGATGCAGACTTGAGCCGAGGACAGTTTTCCTCTCCAAAACAGGCTCAGATAACAAAAATGGTGTAGAGAATTTGTCTGAGGACAGATAGCCAAGGGAAATGTGTGCTTTTAATGATTTTTTTCCCACTTGTTCCTGCTGCAAGCTTTGGTGTGTTACTTAACTCTTCCCTGCTTCATGCATTCTGTCCCTGATTCATGGACCACAGCACAGCTTCTCCTTCAAGACGGGTTGGAAAAACTGTGATTAGTGCTAGTGAGATCCTACTACTTCCCTTTGAAGGAAAACCTTGAAATTAAAAAAGAATATAACAAGATAATTTTCCATTTATTACAAATATATTTTCTTTAGAATTACTACAATTTTCTCCACTGCACAGACTTTTAGCCTCCTTGAATACATGTGCTGTGGCCAACTCTTGGACCAGCAAGCTGAGAACACTGACTGACCTCATAATTAATACTTACTCATACTGCATTTGTGCGCTCCAGAGCCCTTTTTCCCATCCAAAATAGATCTTACAATGTGTTAGGAGCTGCTCAGTGAGGAGCATGGGCTCTATCTAGGGATGCCAGGCTGGATGTGGCTATGGGCAGCCTGGCCTGGTGGCTGGCAACTCTGCACATAGCAGGAGGTTGGAAGTGGATGAGCATTGCGGTCCTTTTCAACCCAGCCCATTCTATGATAGTTTAGGAAGACCACAAACAGATTCAACTGAAATGCCTGCTTGACAAGATGAGAAGCCAGCATCTCATCTCAGCTATTCATGTAAGCCCCACAGAGAGACAACCACTTCCAGAGGGTGATTCATCTCATCCTGTGATGGCTGTATATGGGAAGTGAAGTGAAGTACCCTCTGGAGAGCATATCTGTCTCTATTAACTGTATATGAGGAAGAACAAGATTAGAACAGACACTTAACTAGTAATAATTAGCAGCACGGAGTTCAGATGAAAATTAGGTCTTGGCTTTGGTCCTTCACCAAATCATCAGAGAGCAGTGACCCAGTGCTTCCACCACCACAGATGCAGACAAAGCACCAGTTAATCACTGACTTTGATAAAACTATTCTGCAGTGTCACCTCCTGAAGGTACGGGGAGAGGAGGAGAATGAGTCATGTGTACAGGCTTTATCTCACATCTGTATTCTCTCCATCTCTATTTCCACCTCTACACAGCTTTATTAAATATAGATGTTTCCATACTGTCGCCAACTGCAAAAGAATACTTACATTCAGTTGGTGACTACCAAAGAACTCAAATCAACCTCGATTTTGCTCATCAAAAAGAAGAATTAAAAGATTCCCTCAGTGAAAATTTAACCATCTTACTATGCTCCACAAGTCTCACTCTTAAAGAAACAGAGGCATTAGGACCCACAGAGAGCAACTTCTGATCCTGTTCATTTGGGAACAGTGACTCAGTCTTTGGTTCATCACATAATCTACCATACAATTTTAGATTGAACAAGTGGATGCTGTATCATCTTTGGACGTGCTACTAAGCCCAGTGGTGGACACGAAGATAAAGATTCCCAGTGGGCAAGACTGAAATCGGAGTCACAATTTATGCTTCAGCTCATCATCATTGCTGGGTCTGAGAACAAGAAGAAAGCACAAGGCGTAACAGAATGAAATACAGCATCTTTCTCCCTGCGACGCACATCTTTTCTCAGGGATTAAAATAGGGTTTGCATTTTAAATTTTCATTTACTAAACAGAAAAATATTTTACTAGGAGGGAATGGTATTAAGGAGAAATGATTCTCTGTGTGCCCTCAGGCCTGGCGAAGACAGGATTTGATTTGCTGTGTTAGGCTGGAATCTGGATTGATACACAGAGATGAGAAGGTGTTTAATAAAATTTACATTTCATTTTCTCACTTGACACCAGTCTCCTGTCACTCACCGAATGAAGGGAATACGACAAATAACTTTTGTCAGCACCCAGACATGGAGAGACAGTCAAGGGAGTGGGGGGAGAGGAGAAATGGGTTATTTTTAACAGTGCTGCCTTTGATGGCTGCAAGGTTTGGCATGTCTTGGGCACTGGCTTCACGTGTAATGTACTTTGCAAGGCAGAGATGCAGCAGGAATGAAGGTATGAATTAATTCAGCCACACCTAACCCATCGCTGGGGATGGACAAGTGACCTCCAGGGAAATGAATGAGGTAACCCACACCCACCCCAGCAGAGCATTTTGGAGCATGCTCTGTGCTCAGCTCACATCTAGCTCGTTTCTCTGACCAATGGCCCTGCATGCATAGGGATTCACTGCATAAATCCAGAGGCAAAGAGCTCTTCTTTGGGAGGACTGAGTATATATTCTCCTCTTCTGCTCCTGTGGGAAACCCTTATCTGTTCCCTCCATCCCATGGGACTCTGACTTGAAGGAATAGGCTCAACATCTAGAAAAACAGAATTTCTCCCCATTATTCACACAACAAAACTTGGGAAATACACAGCAGTACTTTTAAAACAAAAGCCAAAATAATTTCTTTTTCACTCATAGGATATAAATAATTCAACGCTGTACTTTCATAAAACATTCAGGGAAAATGGGTCCATCCAAAATGCCAATGCAACCACCAGTCCCAGAAGTCTACTCTTGCTTAAGGTCAAATCCAAGGAATGTTCACCTTATATTTCCTTTTTGGTCATATTTTTCTCCAAACACCAGCAGCCCTCAGCACGAGTGTCTGGTCTGATCCAACATGGAAACTATTTAAAGGTTTATGAAGTTTATATGCAATCCTCTGTCATGGCCTTCGTTCATAACTGCAAATAGAGCCAAGCTCATCAGCAATACAAACTATTTCTCGTTTATCTTCTGTTGTGAGAGAAAAAGCTTTGAACTGAAGCACCTAAGACAAACCTGATAGGATGTAATAGGAGCATATTAGGATAAAACTATTTACCTCAGTGAGAGTGAAGAGAAAGGATCAAAAGATCAGATGCTTTTTTCACACCATCCTCCATTTTGTTATGATTTCTGTGCACCATATTTTTCACCTTGAGCATAAAATTAAGGATAAATTGAGTAGTTATATATATATATATATATGCATATATATATACGTGCATATTTATATTTATGTATAGTATGTATATACATATAATGTGTGTATGTATGCATTTATACGTATCACCAATTTTGCAGTGTTGTGTTTTCAGTTTTTCTTTCCTATTCCTTTTCTACTTTTTGTTGGTCCCAATGTAAAGTAAAATAATACAAAAAAAAAAAAGAAAATGAATAAAGAAAATAAAAGTAGAGGGTAAACACCCCACTGATCATCCTCCTCCAAAAGACATTTCAACCTCCATTATTAAATGCTTTATTTCACCCCTTTTACATACCAGAGAACTCACCATGCCAGGACACTTTGCCAGTGAATGAGAAATACTGGAATGATCCTGCAGCCTATCTGGGTCTTCCCATCATCTTTTTACTGTTTTGTTTTCATAACAAATGGTCACTCAACTTTTCCCACATTTTCGGTCAGGCTCTTCTTGTCTGTACAAAGCTGGTATCCGTTCAACTCTTGGCATATGCATAATGGTTGCAAATAATTAAATGAAAAATGAAAAATTCTGTGAGTCTGTATAATCAGTGAGTGCCTACCGTTATATTGGTCCCTTCCAAGTCAAAATATTCTATGATTCTATGATTAGCGTTGGAGTGTTGCATCAGACAGCATTACTGATAAAGTAAATGTTTTCTTTTACAGTTCCTAGTCCACTGAAGGATATTTTGTTTGCGCAATTCCACTCTCAATTAGGCTTTTTGCTGCAGAATCAGCACTTTTTGAGGGGAGATTCACCCCCTTTCCTTGCCATTGTTACCTCTCATGTTATAGAAATAACTGCCATAATAAACAGTTATACCATATAGAGATGATGAAAGGGTTTATAATCCTATTGCTGTTATTTGGTTTCTCTTTTTTTTTTTTTTAATTTTGTCTTAGGCACACAATTCCTTCAACCCAGACTGTAATTAATTTCACTACATCACCAGTTATCTCCGCTCCTTAACCAGCCTTGTCATTTTAATTTTTCACAGACTTTCTCTTTTCTATCCATGTGCCTGTTCCTGTATCTTCGTGAAGTCTCATCAGCTCTGGCCCAAAGCCTTAGGCAAATTTGTCTGTAATGCACTCCTCTGCTTCAGACATAAGAGGAAAAAATATCACTTCCATAAAAGGGAAAAAGACAAAAAATAAAAATAAAAATAAAAGAAAGAATAATTTTGACAATAGCATTGTCTAAGAAGTCAGGAAATCCTGGAGAGCAAGGTTAAAAATAAGGCACCTTTTCAGCTGCACCCTTATGTATAACAAAACAGTCTGAGTGGCATTGGACATGATGGGATTACAGAAAAAGGTGTCAAGCAGAGCGGGTGGAAACCCAAAACCCAGCAAATTCAATGAAATATTTGCTATTAGCTGCAGCACAGCCAAACTTTCCCAGTTTCACTGACATTCAACATGACTGTCAAGAAAGAGTTTGGGTCTTGGAGGTCAATACCTCACCGGTCCTTCTCTAGCAGATTCCATCCCTTGCAGTTTGCCTCAATGCAGGCCACATTAGAGCATATGTCTTCACCACAGCATGCCATTAGACTGCTTCAAAAAGCTGAGATTGAGACAAAATCCTTCTGTCTTTTCACACCAGAAGATGGACGACGACAACTTAAAACAGGGAGCTCCTTTCATCTGAATCCCCTACAGCTGGGCCAGAAGGCTTTCATAATCTCAGATCTATCAAGACTCCCTGTTCCCTCATGGATATCCCACATGTCATGCTGTGGTTTCTCATCTGTCTCCTTCCACCACCTTCCTACCCCATTCCATCTTCACCACTTTTTTCAGACTGCCTTCATATCAAGGGGTATTTGGGCAGCCAGCCTTATCCACAAAAAGCCATCATGCAAAGATGGAGATTGGTGTTGCTGTTGGCCCAATCTTAGGAAAAGGACTAAGGACAACTCCAGAATGTCAACATTAAGGGTCTTGGGCAAAATCACCAAAAGCACTGATCAGACTCTTCAGCAGGGTCTATTGTGACAGGACATGGGAAATGGTTTCAACCTAAAAGAGAGGAGATTTAGACTGGATACAGGGAAGAAGTTAATAACAATTATGGCAATGAGGCACTGGCCTGAGCAGTAGTGGATGCCGTGTCCTGGAGACACCCAAGGTCAGCCTGGATGGGGCTCTGAGCACTGATGGAGCTATGGGTGTCCCTGCTCATTGCAGGGAGGAGAAAACAGACGACCTTTAAAGGCCCCTTCAACTCAAATAATTCTATGATTCTACAGTGCTTGGGCAGCTCAGCAATGTCTGTGCAGCTAGCCATGTGTTCCTTGTAAGTCTGTTTTGCCTTTGCCTGCCCAGATGGTGAAGTTCTCAAAACAAGTCTGCTTCTGCCTAAGCCACAGAGAAGCAAGATTCAATTTCAACCAGGTATTTTTGCTATTAGTCTAAGAGCAGCTATTTATTGAAAAGACACAACCTCCTTCATCAGCATGCTCTTCGACCACTATTTAACATCATATTTCTTTCATGATCACCGTGATGATTTCCTTCCCCCACACACGAGTGTTCAAATTTCTTATTTATTCAGGGCTCACTTTGTGTTTGCATCACGAATTCTCATCACGTTTTCTTCACTTTTTCCACACTTGTTTCCCATGCTCCACCACTCACTCAATTAATGCACAGTGATGCAGGAAACTGAGATCAACCATACTGCAATTAAATGTTATTTACCCCTGCTTACTCCATTAGACATGCAAGACATTACTTACTCTGTAAACAAAGTTTTGATAAATGCTAGGATTATGAATTAAAGGATTAATCAAAGCCCTTAACTCTTTCCAATATGTCATCTTCTTCCCCCAAAGAAGGCTCTACTGTTTAATTTCTGCATATCGTTTATATTCAATATTATCTGGATATCATTTGCATAAATTCTGACATTTCCAGTGATATGTTATTTGCTTTCACTCTGCTTGGATGTGATAGAGTCACCTAGCAGGAGTCGAACTACCTGAGGAGTGCAGGGCTCAGGTGCTGGAGGAACTGTTTGTCTGCAGAAAGGAAAAGATCTACTATGTGAAAGTAAAGCTGGGTGCAGCTGTGGAGGAAAGGAAGGGCCTTTAAATCATGTCACCAAGCCTCGACATAACTGCAAGGTAAACCTTATTTGGACTGTGAACCATGAGGGACCTACTATATTGATTTACATAAGAGAATATTTTGACCTCTGCAGAAAAAGTTAGAAGAAACTCCTGGTCCTCCTGCATGGAAGAGGTCAGAACAGCTGATATTCTGCATGGAACATAAGGCCCTCATCCTCAGCAGTCATAAGCCAGAGAAGCTCCAGCACGAACAGTCAGGTGCCTGGCTCAGCCTGGAATTCCTGTGATTTTACCTGAAAATGATACTTACAAACTCAATATAGCACAGCGCCCAATATTTATCAACCTGTGATGATCTGATATGGACAACATTTCTTTAATATAGCAGCTTTCTCCCAGCAGAGACATCAGAAAGACACCATAATCATTTATAGGTCAAAAAGATCCCAAAAATACAACTAAAGTGAGAGTTGTCTGGATGGAACTGAAATAAAAGTTGGCCGATGAGTCAGATCTTATTTGCAGTTTAATTGGTTCAATTATTGCCTCTTTGATCAGAATGAAAGAGCAAGAGAGGTTCTTTTCCAGCAGCACAGACACTATGCACCCTTTCAGCTCAGGCCTTTTTGAATTCTCACACTGCAACAGAAGGACAAGAGGGGAAGGTATTATCTGTTCTTCTGTGACTATATCTGTCCTGCATCCAGCTACACCTGGCAGGCTGAGGTTCATCTAACCAATGTACATGTCATTATATGAACTCATGGTGGATTGGAGATGCTTTTAGAGCCAAACTCAACTCATCCAAAAAAGGAAATCTAGATGAAACCAAAAAGATCTCACATTACAAAGCCATGATTTCAAGAATATCAGTGCCTTGAGTACAGGATTTACTTCTATTAGTGGGAAGTGTGGCTGGGATCATACATGTGCATCAGTCCTTACGGCTGTGCTTGCACTGCTGGACAAAAAGAGGACAAGGATCAGGGATCAAGCACTGCTCTGCTGCTATGCATGCTGATCCAGTTAGAACTTCCCTACAAAATGCCCAGAAAAAGCACAGTTTGGGAGCTTGTACAGATGAAGAGCATCCTCAACAGTGGGTATAAATGAAGTTATTCCATTTTGGCTGAACCTATAGGCAGTAGGGTCTGATAACTGCAGCTGACTGTTCTCTATGTCTCCAAAGGCATAATCTGTTTTCTCATTAACCTTCTACATCCTGTTCACATTTTAAACATCAGGCGTATCCATATCTTCACCCTTCAGCTCGGACTCAAGGTGCACGTACTTTACAACAAGGGAATGTGAATTTTTGCACACATTGGGCCTCCCTTTGGGTTAAAGATCTAGAATAAGACTTTCATCCCCAGAGAATTGAGTAGCTCACCAAACAGCACCTGCATCTTAGTTCAGCGCATTTGAAGCCTGGTTTATTCTTTAAATCAATGTCTCTCACCTTCTTCCTAAATAAGTATTTTTCTTACAGAGAAGTATACATTCTTGCTCGTGCTATCAGGGCATATTGTAACCAAGAAGTTTATGGTACAGAGCGAGTATAATAAAGTTCCTCATCTTCCAGCTCAGTAAACCAAAGCACAGAGGAATTCTCTGAGCAGCTGAAGCACATCAGTATTATTATTATCACTCATAAACAGTTCTGTTCATAACAAGTCAGTGATTTAAAGGTGTTAGAAAATAATGGCGTGGTGGAGAGATAAAACAAAACACTTCAGTTTCAAAAACAAGACAAACAAAAGAAGTATTCTTAAGCACAGATTTAACTAGGGAAGCATGGAAGTCACAGTGAAACTGAACAGTTGCTTACTTGTTTTTTCCTCAGGAAAAGGAGAAGATTTATGCACATACTGAAATTCTTTGAGAGGGAAGATAAGAACAAATTCTTATATACGTGTATGTATGGGTAAACACTCCAATCAATATTGCTCTAGCTACTAAGACTACATCAGTGTGAGCACATTAATGTGAGGTTGTGGGTGTGGAAACTCCCCCACCTGCAGTGCTGAATTGCTTGGTAATCTCTGAATGCCTTTGGCCTGACCCAGCTAACAATCCTCCAAACAAGTTTTAAAGGCTGAGTTTCAGGGTGTCAGAAGCCAAGGACTATTCTCAACAGGTTATTTGGCTGCACCTACTTTTCATGGAAGCTAAGAGAGCTTCGAGGTCCCTTCAAACCCAAGCCACTCCATGATTCTATGATTCAGTGATTCTATGACTCTATGATTAGTAGCCTAGACATAGCCATGGTTCCCCAGTTGGCTGTGGAACAATTTCACAAGTTCATTAGTACATGCACAACGTAACAGCTTTCTGTGACAGTATGTGTGCACTCCTCCAACCACAGAGACAAAATAAAACAATTTCACAGTGACCTCAAGAAAGGCAAAGCTTGCTTGGTCATTGCTCCACTGCCTGACATGACTTCTGATATCCCTCTGCTGCTGCTCCCATAGCAGTCTGCTCTCTGACCTCCTCCTGAGGGCTGTACACTGCATCCAAATTCCCTCTTTCCTCATTACAACCATCAGGAGGCTGTGGGACATCCTTCTGGGCAGAGCACCCCAAGACAGAAGCCTGTTGAAGCTCCACAGAGCCCCCATGAGCTGTTCCTCCACAAGGCTGTTGGTGATTGCCACCTTTCCTGGCTGAAGAGAAGATATCTCTGTTACTTGTCTTTCGCTGTAGGGCGTTTGCCTTTCTCACTGGCGTGGCTTCACACAGCTGTGGGCTCAGCTCCTTCCCTTGTCCCACCTCATGTCTCACTGCTCCAGTCTCTTCCACTTCTGTAAAAGCAAAAAAAAAAAAAAAACCAAAAGTTTGTGCTCCACAGTAATTCTTAAACCCTAATTTCATATTCCTGCTCCTCCCATTCCTTTACTGCATGTTAAAGGCATTATCAAAAACAAGCAAACAAACAGCAGTCATTCTGGGGAGGAATCATTTCAAGTAGCCACAAATTTCATTCAGTCAAAAGCAAGTTTTCAAATCCAATACCTATATGCTGCTTCCACAAATAAGCTTTAATAAGCAACCCAAAGAGCTCTTTTTTCCTATCGACACACAAACACCTCCTGCAACATTTTCTAATGGTTATCAAATATTATGATGAAGGTTAGGTAATAAAATGCATAGAATACAGATCATTAATTAGCTATTTTACAGTGCTTGTTTTTTATACTGCTAATACTGAAAATAATTGTAATATTACACATCTATGCAATCCATCCAATTTCTATGAATAAAGCTATAATATGAAGGAGATCTTTTCATTTTCAACATTGCCCTTGCACAGGGCACAGCCTGCAACCTGCAATGCTATTTCCAAAGCAACATGGTAAAAAAATGGAGGAAAAGCAAAATGCACACTATGCTTTTTTCATGTGGAAGTACAAAATATCCACATCCTAATAATGCAGTTATCAAACTGCAGAGACTGAATCAGTTGTAGAGGTGCAGCAAATGGCTTCTGAGTTGACACCAAGTGTCTGGCAGTCTGCTTTACCTGGAGCTTCATTTGAATTCTTGCAACCTTCCTATTTCCTCACAAAAATATGATGAAACCGGACCAGAACCAAGCCTTTCTTACTCATTCCCAGTCTATAACTAGCTCTGGTGCACCTACTGCATCTGTTGGTGGACAGTGCTGATGTTTGCTGTCCATTCATCAGCAAGCGGTCCCAGAAAATGCTGTTATCACTCCTTATTTTTCTGGTCTGACCCAGAAGTTCATCTTTAGCAGTGCAGTTTTTAGCCCTATGGTTTTTCAAGCCTTCTCCCTTTTTTATCAATTCCTTGTTTTGAGTCTCTATTGACTGGCATCATATTCCTGTTTTAATTTGTTCCCTAAAATTTCCCTGTTTCTTCATGTTCATACTTGCCTAAGGAATTAAGGAGTGTTGCTTTTTTTTTCAACTAGTGTTCTTCTAGCTTTCAGTTTCACAGCTGTGTCTTTTGGAAATCCATTAGAAAGTTCTTGGTAAATTTTCAATAGTCACACATGTTTCTGTGCATAACAGTTTTCTTTCTCACTATTGTCTTAATAAGAGGTTACTGGCTCATTAAAGTACAAATTACATGCATCACTAGTTTCAACTTTCTTCTTTCTACACACAAACAAGTTGTTGATCCCATATCAAAGCTTCATGTTATTTTGTGGTATGTATTCCTCCTCTATTCATCTTCAAAGGTGCCATTTTCAGCTGTGGAAATAGGACTTATCAAAGAAGTTTGGGTGATCAGAGGAGGCTAAAAGCTTTCTGGATATGAGCAGTTTCGAGGTTGAAACACTGCCTTGAGATTTATAGGACACAGCAATGGAAAATAACCCTTAGAGGCTGGGATATATTGCAGTATCAGACAGTAAAGCTAAAATGGAAGATACTCAGTGCCTCTACCTCAGTGCTTGAAGTAAGTTGAAATTCCAACTGAATTTAAATACATCAGGAAAAAAATGGCAAACTGGTAGAAAGGAAGAAGGAGGAATTGACCTGTGCAACATAGAAACAAGGGATGTGGATCATGTTTGCAGAGTGGGGCATCCTCTTCAGTAAAATGAAGTGATTTCTGGCAATGGTGGAATAGGAATTAAGTACAGTAACCAAAAGGATTTGTGGGATCCTTTGGTGGTAGAGGAGGATTGAACAGTGTTAGGGAAGTCATTTTATTTTTGCAGTAATACAAACCAGGTACCAAAACCAGATCTGAATAAATCGGAGCATTCAAAAGAATCAGTTCCAATTGTCAGGACTCAAAGGGCTACAGTTTGAATCCAGAGCTCAAGTATTTCCACTGCCAGAAAGCAAACACAGGAACAAACAAAAGCATTATACTAAAGGGATATCCAATACAAGAAGTGAACCACAGAATCGTAGAACTGTAGAATCATAGAATCATAGACTCTTAGAATCAGAAGTTGGACTCCATGATCTTTATTAGGGCCTCATCCAACACGGGATAATCTATGACAGAACTGGGGAATAATGGAATCATGAAATAGTTTGCATTGGAAGGGACGTGATGATCACCTAATCCACGCAGCTGCCATGGGCAGGGACACCTCTCACTAGACCAGGTTGCTCAAAGCCCTATCCAACCTGACTTTGACCACTTCTAACACTGGGCATAGGTTAGGCCCTAAAACTGTAAAATTAAGCTCTGAAATGCAAACTGATGTAAGATAAAACTTGTCAGTGACGAAGGTGACAAACCACCAGCACAGACTACAGAAAGGAGCAATATGCTCCTCCACCTCCGGGTGCCCTCCTGTTAGCCATACATTAGTCAATCAAAAGTTATTTAATTCAAGACTGAGATCATTATGTGAAGCTGAAGGGACTTGTTATTATGCCAAGGTCAGACACTGCAATACCTTGATCCCTCTTCCCCTGAAGTACTGAATATCTATGCTTACAGCTTTCTTCCTCATCCCCTTCCTCAGCTACTTGTTCTGAGACAACAACCAAGACCTGAACTTCCTTTGGTCTTTGCATTGCACAAGCACCTATCAAACAGAAAAACCCCGCCTCGCAAGACTTCCTGTGGTGATTAATAATTAAGATTCTGAAAACTTCATTGTATTAGAAAACTGGGATCTCTTATGGGGGGAACTTTCTGTAGAGCAGAAAGTAAACAAAGTGACTGCAGCTTTGATTTCCTCTCTCTCCAAAACCAACATCACTTTAAATAAGGGGAAATCAAACATTAGACATTTCCAAGTCATATGTACTAAATTCACTTAAGATATTGTTATCCTTGTTTAGATTTGAACATATCGGGGAATCTTTTTGTCTCACAACTATTCCTAAAAGACTTTAAGTGGCTGGATTGCCTTTTTCTGACAAAAAAAAAAAAAATGCTGCCATGAATTATTTACATGACGGCTCCAATCAACGCTGTACCTGTCAGCCTCCCCAGCCAAAATGAAAGTTCACTATGTAAAGGTGCCAAGGGAGAATGGCAGCCTCCCACTGCGAGTTTATAGACAGAACTAAGTCAGCACGCATTATGTGTCAGAGCCAACATCAGACAGAATCAGATCCTTTGATCTCAGACCTCCACAGGAAGCTTAGATCTCAGACAAATTAGATAAAAAATGAATTTATAGCAGATATGTGTCCTAAGGCACACAGCTGAATGCTGTGTTTTGGAACAGTACAGCAAATATCAAAACACATAAACTGCAGAATTTCCTCTCTCCTTCTCCTTCTCCCTTTGTTTTCGTGATGGATGCTAATTAAAAGGAGATAAAACTCCAGCTTGCTTCTTCCTGCCTCTTACGTAATCCACACACTTGGGGAAGGAGGGGAAAAAAGAAATTCCCCACACTGAGTAAATGGGTGGTTCATCAGGGTTATCCGAACCCCCTCAGATGTGCACGGTTGGAAGGTGAGACCAGAAAACTCCACCACAAAACAACCACTGTAGGAACATTTCATACTTGCAGAGTGGGAAGCCAGCACTTTATGCTGCCGACTGCACGCCCTGAAGCTGTCTGCTTCTCAGTGACCTCAGAAGAAGTTTTGTTTGATCAGCAGAGGATGAAAAGAACGGTCTTGGGGAGGTGTGTGGAAGAGGGCTGCATATGGCAGAGACATAGGGAATTAAGGGGATACAAAATGGTGGACATTGAGCTATTTGGGGTCCTGGCTGGTTGGATGGGGCTCTGGACAGCCTGGTTTAGGTGGTGGAAATCATGCTTATGGCAGAGGGTTGGAACTGGGTGATCTGTAAGATCCCTTCCAACCCAAGCCATCCTGTAATTCTATGACACAAAGAGATAAAACACCCAGTAGACTGACACCACGGAGGACACAGAAGAGGTAATGAAGTGATAGACCTTGTGAGAAGAACAGAGCCCACTCACCCAACACAAGCCTATCGTTTAAGAGACCTAAACCAACCCTTTTGTTGTCCTACTCCTTATAAGCCTGAATTACTCTCAAACTATAGTCTCACCTCTTGCTACAGGCACACCATTGTCATTCTGTCTTTGATCGTAGCAGGGCTGGACATGAGGTGCATGAGGATGTGCTTGCTTTTGGGGTGCCTTGGTACTGGCCTGTGGTACATCTGTCCTCTTAGTCCTCGTTTCTGGAATGAAGCAGCACATAGTCATGTCAGTCTGAATCCACCCTCAGCACAGCAGCAGTTATTATTTCAAGCAACAAAATATTGCTGGTGAATTTGCAGATAATCCACAAGTGTTCTTTCTGCCCAAAAGCAGAGAGAATTGTTTTATGATCATATCATCTTGTGTTTTGCCATTTGGAATCCCACCTGTTTTCTTCAGGTAAAGTCTTTCCTCATGTTGTCACAATATTCAATAACACTAGAAATTCAAATTTTAGGTGCAGCTGGTGCTCACGGTGCAATTTAGAAGAAAAACTCTTTGGCTTGCATTTGGAAAGCTACTTGGAAGAAAAGAGGTTGGTGAAATTAGGGAGGAGGTTTTGAAACAAACAGGAAACAGGTCTAAAATGCTTTATTATCTGAGAGGAGTACTGACTCCTTCCCTGTGCATTACTGGTACATTTTGCCAGGTCACAACCTCTGTTAGCTTGCTTGGAAAGCCAAATTATTGGTAACTTCCAACATGTCCAGAATTTTAAGATGATTATTTAGAGAGTAAGCCACTGAATAGCAGCAGTCATGTGCTCTTATCTTCAGTTCTTCTCTTGTCCAAATAACTTTATGCTGCCTGTACTGAGAAAGCCTGATGCCTTTGCTTTGCTGAAAAAGAGCAGTCTTAAGGCAAATTAGTAAAGGTGTGGATTTGCTCAGGGGAAGAGTCTAGAGAAGCTGCAGCTTTCCCATTTCCACTTTGACACATGCAATATAGATAACATGGTATGGGATATGAGCACAGCTGAGCCACTGCCTCTGAGCACTGACTATGAAGGTGTCACAGGTCCTTGGTCAGCACCATGGTTTTGCATTAACATCACCATGGCAGTATTTTGTTGTGTTACACTTTATCAGGAAAACATAGCATCATTTTTTTGTTTCCCAAATCTTTATCTGCATTATTGAAATCTAATTTTCACTGTGTCTCATACTCAGCCATCTGCTACAGGTACAAAAAATATATAGCTCTGAATTATGAATAATAATGATAATTAATGACCTTTGCAGAGCTTTCTCTAAGTGCCAGTGTTTACCTGAACAATTTGAAAGAAGGGAAGGGAAGGGAAGGGAAGGGAAGGGAAGGGAAGGGAAGGGAAGGGAAGGGAAGGGAAGGGAAGGGAAGGGAAGGGAAGGGAAGGGAAGGGAAGGGAAGGGAAGGGAAGGGAAGGGAAGGGAAGGGAAGGGAAGGGAAGGGAAGGGAAGGGAAGGGAAGGGAAGGGAAGGGAAGGGAAGGGAAGGGAAGGGAAGGGAAGGGAAGGGAAGGGAAGGGCTATGTAACTAGATAAACCCCTTCTGAGTTTTATCCAAAGCCAGAAGATGTTAGAAATAGGAAACCAATCAGGCTATACTTGTGTAAAAGTCACATACAGCCTTAAACTATTTGCTCAGTTTGTATTACCATTGCTCCTAAATCATGCTGCAGCCAGTCTGGAGATCTGTTAAATGAAAAAGGCAGTCTGAAAATATAAATTGTAGTAGACATTTCCAACTTACTGTTGTTTTTGCTCTTCTTGAACCAGCAGAGCACAAGAGTGACAACAAATGCAGATGCTATTGCACTCATTAAGACAACGAGAATCAAGCTGGCCTTCTCTTCAACGGGCACAGGGAAGATGGTAAACGGCTGAGATAGCACAGTGAATTTAGCTCCTGAGAATTCAAAGCAGTCAGAGTGTATTGCAAACGTAAGGACACTGGTTTCACAATTAAAACACCAAGGTATAGCCTTCCAACAATTTTATTGCTCAAAAAAAATGCATGCAGAAATAGTCCCAAAGTCCACTCTTCCACACATCCAACATTAACCAACAATACTGAATCAGGAATGAGTACTAGGACAAACCAAACATGTAACAACATTTCTTCAACAGCTGTCAAGCTATTGTCAAGCATTCAGTTCTTCCTGAAGCAAAGACAGTCTCTTCGTATTTAACTGTTCTTAATGTTTCTTCCATTAATTTGTCTAGCAGTCTACCAAACCCAGAAAATATGTTCAGAAAATGCTTGTCTATGAGACAAAACAGATCAGGACCAGTCAGGAAATGTGCATATTCTATCTAGCAAGACTGAGAAGCTGGTTGCAATGAGAAAAGTGCTGATTCATGTGCAGTTTTTTGCAAGTTACACGTCACTTATTTGAATGTAAACAACAGGAAATCCAGAAACATTGACTAGCATTTAATTTAAATCCATGAAAGCACACCATATTGACAGTGAGCGTATCAACAAGAATCACAGACTCACAGAATCATAGAATGGTTTGGGTTGGAAGAGGCCTTTAAGACCTTCTAGTTCCAAGCCCTTGCTATAGGCAGGGACCCCTCCCATTAAACCAGGTTGCTCGAAACTCCATCCAGCCTAGAGCTGCGTGTTTCCATTTCATTGTAAATACTTAAAAGCACACAAACTTTGTGTAATGTTCTTCACTCAGAGATCCCACAGTTTTCTCCAAATGAGATCCGAATCAAACCAGGCTCCACTTATCTGTGGTCAAGACTTCACTGGGTCTCCACATCTGAGCTACAAAGTCTGGAAGATGACTAACACTGCTCACTTCCAACATCAGAAATACAAAGGGGTTTCGATCCCCTGTATCTTTGCTTTTTCCAGTACTTTCAGTGGTACTGATACTTGATCTAAGGCCTAAGAAATCGATGCAAAAGCTTCAGTTGTGAAGGTGCCTGGCACATTCAGATCCGGGTTGACTCCCCCACGAAACATCCTCCCAGAGTCTAGACTTAGCATTGGCCTTGGGCCACTTATTATTAGCCCAAGCCCCACTGTCTTAATAATGTCAACATGCATATTTCTTTTACTTCCAGTTCCAATTCTAATAAAAATGAAAAACCTTTTTTCATCAATTCATTGAAAAATTTGAAGTGCTATCAGGTGGATGTTTCTGGAAATGGATAACTAGCTGTAAGTACTTTTATATTAAACTAATTAGCTTTGTATCACTATTGTCCGCCCAAACAAAGTAGAGCTTCATCAGAACAGTGTGGGAAGGAAGTTTTAGCTGGGAAAAATTTGCCTGCAGATACAGGCATGTATGAACTTCAACTTAGAGGAGAGAAGTAACCTCACAGGTATTGAAGACACTACACAGACGAGTTTGTAAAGGTTGCATTTCACATTGATAGTTTGCAAGTAGGCTGCTGTTGGTTTAAAAGGAAAGTGAGTGGATCGAGCCCACTGGGATCTATATCACATAAATAAATGTTACTGCAAAACAAGGAGCAGGACCATGCAGCAGTGCTACCAACAGACCACTCTCCCTAGGAACCACCATTAAAACAATTGAGATTACTGCATTCAACAGCAGCAGCATCTTCTGAGCTGTCTCCAAATTGAAGGAGCCTGAGTCACTTATGCCAGAAATACATTCATTAAAATTTATCACAAATGCCTACCGTTTGTTTAATGTTTGTTTGTTTATCTCAAACAATAAGCAAATATCTTCAGGAAGAGTTCGGTAGTATTAAAAGCCTTTTTATTGACTGCAGCATGGTTCCCAATTACAAATGAGCAAAGGCGGTTGCTTGTTTGCTGTGTACTTCTACAGTGCATATTAAGCATTCAGTGCTCTGATTTGCACAGGTCATACCTACATGGATGCACTAGCTGTCTTTATTCACAGCTTTAAACATCTCATTGCAACACTGACTAGCTTGTTGTTTCATAAGAGATCTGCATTTGACCTCTGCTCAGAGGAAAGACTTTGTGACTCCTGTGTAGTAGCTTTTAAAACACATTTCTTTAAGCCACACTTCCCACGAAAGAGTCAGACCCTGTTAGGTGCTGATTTTCCATCTGCTCTCCCTGAAGTGAAGGCAATGGGAGCTGTGGGCGCTCAGCTGCATCCACCCTCACACAGACAGATGTTCCTCCTCTAGAGACTCACCTCTAGTATTTCCTGCATCTTCATTTTCCCTTTGCAAAGACATAGGGAATATTTGATGTTGAGCAGTCATTTGTGATTAGGAGGAGCAAAGGTTTCTCATTGAACACAAAACAATAATAATAAAAAAAAATATTTAGGTTTAAATCCAGGGTAGAAAAGGAAAGGATTTCTTGGGTTATAAATCCATGCTATTGTATGTGCTGTGTTATACATTAATAGCTATAAGTGCATCAAGCTCCACCCAAAAGCAACTGATGTTCTGCTCACAATATTTCTTATCTATTAAGATACCATGTTCAGGAAAAAAAAGAAAAAGAAAAACAAAGAAAAAAAAAGCACTCTAAATCTCTAAATGTACATAATATTCTAACTTTTTAGCTTAGATATTTTTCATTAGCCCCTTCCACCTGGTCACATCACCTGTCTGATATATCTGCCCTCTCTGTCTTTTCCAGTTTAACCAAGACACACTATCTTGGAGTTTTCTCATTAAAAAAATCTCTTTCTTCCCTTCATTCTTCACACCTACTCCATTTTGAGAGGATTTCTGGATACTTCTGTCCTTCCCTCCTATGCTTCTTTCTACCTGATAGGCATCAGGTTATATTTAGATACACTCATACATAACAGTAGAAGAGAAACTTTACACGTGGTCTTGCAACTCTCTTTATAAACTCAGTGTTTTGGTCACGTTTACCAAATCAAACAAGATGCCAAAAGTGGGTCTTACCTGGTGGTGATGTGACAGTGAACACGAGGTTCCAGTTGGTGCCTGAGCTGGAGACAGCCAGATTGGAAAAGCTAGCACATCCACCTATCACCTGTACTTCAGTGAGCCCTGCAGAACCATTTAAAAAACAAACTGCCATCAGCAGCTTCCAGATAAGCATGACTCAAGTCCTTCAAAAAAAAGGAGCAACAGAATCTTTAGCAGGGTCTGTTGTGACTGGACATGGGAAATGGTTTCAAGCAAAAAGAGGGGACTTAGTCTGGATATAAGGAAGAAGCTGTTTTTAATAAAGGTGGCAAGGCACTGGCACAGGTTGCACAGAGAGGCGGTGGTGCCCCATCCCTGCAGACAGCCAAGGTCAGGCTGGATGGGCTCTGAGCACTGATGGAGCTGTGGGTGTCCCTGTTCATGGCAGGGAGTGTCTGTAGGACCTCCTGTCCTACTGATAAAGCATTCTGAACTTCCTCCAACCTTGCCAGAAGCTTTGAGAGGGATTTGGCCATGAAGAATGTCTATGGTGATGACCCTGTGATCACGCATGAGAGATTTTCAGTTGGAAAATTAGCATGGGAAGCATGAAAACGAAACCTAGGGGAGACATTCGCCATCACTTTACCTCTTGTCCTAAGCTGTAAGGAAATGTTTTCTGATCCAGCCTTTACATGTGCTATGGTTTCTATTTTTGTAGTCTCACTGTAAAATTTGTAATTTACTTTGCAACAGGATCTCCGTTTTATTGTGTGTATTTTTGAGTACTGGCCAAGTATTGGCCCTTGAGCAATGTTGACCGGGTCTGGGCTTCATTCAGACTCTTGGAATGAAAAGGCTAAAATCTGAAAGACTGACAAATTCCAAAATGTTAGTTCAGGTGGGGGTGAGAAGTCAGAAATTCCTTTGGATGCTGGAGTTGATCCAGTGATCACAAACACAGACTTTCTCCTGCTTGGAGACAACACGTAGTCACCACTTGCTTTACAAAGCAGGTGGTTTGACATTTTATTGCAGTTGAGAAATACAGTTGAAGGTGCATTAAGACTGAATGTGAGGAACATGTTTATATTCTTCCATCCAAATACCCTGAGTAGTGAAGAAAGTGGGCAAGCAGAAAGCTGTGAGACACTTTATGATCAGACATCCATGGCAATGCTCAGCAGGTGGGGAACAGGGCTTTTAACTGCAAGAATTTATCTCATAACCACATATATCTTACAGCACCTAACCTCCTCTGTTCCCATGGCTCATGGGATGAGCTCATCCCAGCTTGGATATTCCTGCTGTACTTTTATTAATGATCTAATGACATAAGTTTGTGAAATGTCATTGAAGCTATCAATATATGCAATCATCTTTACATTCCAGCTGTATATAAAGACTCGTATAGAGATGCCCAGTACTCCTTCACTTCCTTGCTTCTCAAATGCACTCACACAATCTTAGAAAGGACAAAGAAAATAAATGGTACTTATTTCACACATGCCTACAAACAGGAGACTGACCTAAAGAGGTAGTCTGTATTTGTGACTGTAGCATTATGCTCTCCACCCTGACCTGCACCTTCAAGAGTAAAGGAAGAAGGCAAGATCTTCTGTCTCTGTTAGACATGTAAGTTAGCACTAAAGCATCTCTACTGGTGGACTGCAAGGTAATCCCAGGGAAACAATTTCTCCAGTCTGCCACTATCCATGTGGCCAAGAAGGCCAATGGCATCCTGGCTTGGATCAGCAGTAGTGCAGCCAGCAGGAGAACGAGGTGTTTGCTCCCCTGTACTCAGCTCTGGTGAGGCTGCACCTCAAGTGCTGTGATCAGATTTGGGCCTCTCTCTACAAGAAAGATATTGAGGCACTAGAACTTGTCCAGAGCAGGGCATGGAGCTGTGAGGGATCTGGAGCACAAGTGTTATGGGAAGTGGCTGCAGGAACTGGGATGGGTCAATCTGGAGCAGAGGGGGCTCACAGGAGACCTCATCACTCCCTACAATGCCACAAAAGGAGGCTGTGATGAGGTAGGGGTCAGCCTCTGCTTCTGGGTAACAGAGAGAGGACGAGAGGCGACAGCCTCAAGTTGTGCCAGGGGAGGATCAGGTTGGATGTTAGGAAACACTTCTCAGAGCACTGATGCAGTGGCACAGCTGCCCAGGGAGGTGGTGGGGTCACCATCCCCAAGGGTGATCCAGAAAAGGGTAGATGTGGCACTGAGAGACAGTCAGTGGTCATGGTGAGGGTGGGCTGGGGTTGCACTTCATGACTTAGAGATCTTTCCCAACCTTAATGACTCTACAATTCTATAATTGTAGAATCTATAATCTATGCTGCATTCAAACACCCTACTGAGATTTCTTCTTGCTGTGCTGACTTCTGAACCACAGCCAGCAACTGCTAGAGGGGGGGTTTTGAGCAGAAGCATGCTACATGCTATATATGACCTTCTTTATGCTAGTATCTGTCTTGACTACCACAATTTCTCTCATCTCTGATACCATAACACCACTGTTACAGAGGGTCCTGTCAGCTGCATCCAAAGACTTGGTAACTGCCATTTCTTGTCTGCACTGAAGCCTGGAGTACTGTACTGTACTCCTCAACATAGACTATCCGCTTTCAGGCACATATGCTTCAAAGCTCAGAATATTTTAGATATATATGTGAGTCTTCACAAAGATCTCTCAGGCAAGCTGGTATTTAACGCAGAAGCAAGCTAATTTGGTGCTAAACTACTTTCCATGAGGCAGTTTGGCTGCTGTCAGATGAAGCAGCCTCAGTGTGCTAGACAGGACCCATTTCGATTAAATGCTGCTTTCATATGCTTCAAAAGACGAGTACAATAAGGACGTTTGTCAAAGGAAAAACTGCAGCACACTATTACATGCGGAACATCTGTACTGTGCAGTTCATTCTTTGCTGGAGTTTATTGACTATTAATTTGATGCATGTATCTTTTAAAGAATGGGAATTGCATTTCTCTGCAGTGACTTCTCTTTCTTTTTTATTTCTTTCTTTCATGCTGTCTTGCATTTCTTCTCTTTTCCTTCCTTCCCCTCTCCCTTCCTCCCTTCCTCCCTTCCTCCCTTCCTCCCTTCCTCCCTTCCTCCCTTCCTCCCTTCCTCCCTTCCTCCCTTCCTCCCTTCCTCCCTTCCTCCCTTCCTCCCTTCCTCCCTTCCTCCCTTCCTCCCTTCCTTCCTTCCTTCCTTCCTTCCTTCCTTCCTTCCTTCCTTCCTTCCTTCCTTCCTTCCTTCCTTCCTTCCTTCCTTCCTTCCTTCCTTCCTTCCTTCCTTCCTTCCTTCCCTTCCCTTCCTCCCTTCCTCCCTTCCTCCCTTCCTCCCTCCCTTCCTCCCTTCCTCCCTTCCTTCCTCCCTCCCTTCCTCCCTTCCTCCCTTCCTCCCTTCCTCCTTTCCTCCCTTCCTTCTTTCACTGTTGGTCAGTAGCTAACTCAACATTCAGATTTAGATTAGTCCAGATTCCCTAAGAAGGCATGAAAAGCATCAGAAAAGACTAAAGGATTTTCCATCCTGAAAACCCAGAACTTTTGACAAGGTAGGAGAGCTATTTCTAATTAACAAAAACATGAACTGGGCCCAAAGGGTTAGAACTCTGATCTATGGCATGAGAAACACTTATCTTCTCCAAATGTTAATTTTTAAATCAGAGTTAACACACATATGTCCTTATTATTACAAACAATTCCTTACTGATATTAGGAAGATTCAGTATTCAGCATGCACACCGTTTGCTTACATTTAAAGGTTTTAGCAATTAACATTATGATGCTTTATAATTGATTTCATTTCCATTTTCTAGTTTACAAGCATATGATCATCCACAGGTTTTCAGTTCAGCACTGTTCTTAAACAAGGATCTATATCTGAGCATGTTCATAGTCTCAATAACCTCAAGGGAAATACTCACATGCTTAGAGTTAATCATGAGTTCAGGTCTTTTGATAAATGAGGACCAGAAGGGAAACATTTAAATCCCTCATGAAAAACATTTTCACATTGAAGTATGCTAATTAAAAACAATAGGCAGTTGTTTCTGTCTGTACTTGGCCTGAACATTTTCTAGGACAAACAGATTGTCGTTGACTCTGAGGAAATTACCCTAATTAACATTAGCTGAAAATCAGGTATTGGGATTTCTAATTCTCCATTCGTTCATTTTTTTTATCTAAGTTACATCTTTTCAAGATAAACTATTGGATTCACTCCCTTTAAGTTGCCAGAGTACAAAAACACTTTGTACAGAGACACAACCTAGAATTCCACACAACCTCTTCCAATTCAACATTCTGTTGGTTTTTTTTTATCACTGAGGCTAACTTTCAAACCCAATCCTCTTCTGTGAAGATTTCACCATAAATTCATCACCATCACTTCCCATAATTGCTTTGCTATAATTCCTGCCATAAGAAAACACTTCCAAACCTTTTAGGACAGCCTCAAAGGAGCCCTTGAGGTGAGCTGAAACAACCCAGGGTTCTGAGGGAGGCCCCAGTGTGTCAATTCTTCGACCCTGGAAAGAAAAACAAAACAGAAGAATTAAGCTAAGTAGATAACTTTGACATAATCATGGCTTCTAAGTTCATTCTAATAGTGGAAAACTCCTGCTACAGCAGCTGCAGGCTGAGCAGCATATTGAACAGCCCAAAGCATAAGATGAGTATGTGTAGAGGACTGAAGACAAACAGAAAGAAGCTGAAGTCTCATGCCTAACAGTTGTAAAACAAGTCTCATGTTGAATGGATATCCAGAGCCAGCTTTACTGTAAAAGAGTAGCAATTTACCAACAATGAAGGACTCACTGGGCCTAGTCTACTGCTTCCAAGACTTGTGTTGGTACCTCTGGCATGGCTGTGCTGCATCACATAAACAGCCAAGCACGTTCTAGATATGCTGACCTCTACAAAGCACTGCTATGCATTGTGCAGACTTGCTTGGCCAGACCAGGAGGCACCATCAGACATTCTCTGTGATCACAGAATCATTGAATCGCTAGGGTTTGAAGAGATCATGAAGGAGGTAAACCACCCTTCAATGGACGGGGACACCTACAACTCCATTAGATGCTCAGAGCCCCATCCAGGTGAGAATGTCAGTCTTCATAACTGTTTTGAAGGTCTCTCATTCCTCAAAGATATCCTCTGAGCATCAGCACCACGTCAGAAAACTGCACACGACTGATTCTACAACACAGATCTAACACTCACAGGAAAAAGCTGAGAAAGACATCTCACAATAGCAATGTTTGCTTATTTATGCAATCCTTTGTCATATGTATTTGTACAGCTATTCTACGCTGTACTTCGGTCAATATCATAGCTTCTGGATTGCTTGGAAATGTCAAAATCATACAGTATGAATAAAAATGTCCATTCACAAAGGGGCAAATCCTACCTTCTTATCCAGGAAAACAATTTGCGGCTGTACAGGAAGCTGCTTTTCAGTTTCTCCATCTGAAGGCTGCACGTGAACAGAGATGCTATAGGGCCTCACATACAAACAAGTTCCTAGGTGCTGTCTGCTTCCATTTTGTTTCACATGCAGAAGTAAACAAACAAAGAAATAAATAAATCAGAAAATTGCTGCTATTTATACCTAAAGCTAATCCAAGAGGTAATTAACAGAGCTATGGCACTTTCTGTTCACAGAACGTTTTACTGTGCTGTCTGCATAGAAAAGTCCATAAACCAGGTTGTTCAAAGTCCCATTCAGTCAAAGCCAGGCTGGATGGGGCTGTGAGCAACGTGGTCTAGAGGGAGGTGTCCCTGCCTACAGCAGGGGGTTGGAAATGGATGATCTTAAGGGTCCCTTCCAACCCCAAATATTCTATGATTCTATGAGTCAATACTACATGTCTGTTGTGAGTAGTACTAAAAAATTACTGATTAACCTTATGGTGGCACTTCAAATCATGGGATGAGAGCAGCATGCATGGAACTGTGAAACAAGCATCATTTTGAAGAGACAATACCGAATTAATAAATGATCTCTTTGTTCCTATCCTCAGTTTGCAGATGGAAAATTGAGAAATGTAAAAAATAAATGGCTCTTCCCATGCAGTAGACAAGGAAATAATGAATTGAGAACTGTAATACCATGGCCCCCAAAATCTCTGTCCCATTGCACTGAGAATGATGCAGGCTGCAAATACTTCCTGTCCAGCAGAACCGCTTCTAGAAAGTATCTTTGAGCTCCTCTAAAAAAAAATAATTCAGTTCTTTTATACAAGCACAGCACTTACAGTGCTTTAATGCATTTCTGCGTCCCATAATTCCTGCACTACTTTTCATTATCTGTGAAGTCTGTGTACCTACATACAGCAGTATACAGACGCCCCATTGAAAGACATCAGTTTTTCAAGACTTGAAATTTAACTTAGAGAATCCCAGGAGAGGGCTTTTGCATTTGAATACAGAATCAACATTTTATTCTGAGCCTACATCATTTCGTTCCTTCTCTCAGTGCTTTGTGTCATTTAGTATCTCTTTTACATATATATGTGTATATGTGTATATACTTCTAATCTGCAACTGCCGTGAAGCGACTGGGGGCTTCATATTGTCTGAAATGAAAGGAAGAAAGGCATTCATTCATCTCGAGAGCTTGCTGGAAGGTGTTTACAAACAGAAGATATATGGAATATCAGTTTCCTTAGGTTTAACTCAGGGTTTGATTTTTGAGGGGGGTTTTACTATGCATCACAAAGCAGAAACTGCTTATCTTGCAACTGAAGAAAAATACTGGCCTGAAAAATGGACACTGGAAGACCAAATAAAATCACAGAATCACCAACGCTGGAAAAGACCTCCAAGATCATCCAGTCCAACCATCCACCTACCACTAATATTTTCCCACTAAACCATTCCCTTAGCAGCAGGTCTGTATGGCTCCTGAACATCTCCAGGAATCACCATTCACACCACCACCTCCCTGAGCAGCCCTTCACAGTGCATTATCACTGAATATTTTCTAATATCTAAGATATTCATACCTAAGATATCTAATATCTAAGATATTTTTCCAAATATCCATCCTCAGCCTCCTCTGGAGCAACTTGAGGCCATTCCCTCTCATCTTAGCTAATAAAGCTTTAATGACACCTGAAGTCTCAAGAGCTGACTCAATGATTTAAAAAAAAAACAAACATTTGGCTTGGCTCTTTTTCTTCTTTTTTTTTTCAGTGTGGGAAATTCAGAAGGGTGATGATACATAGGAAATCCATGTCAATGGCACCAAGGCATTCACCTGTGCTCTTTTCTACCTCCTTCATTAATGAGGATTCAGCATTTTAACTTAAACCCACTTCAGGCACAATACACCAAGTCACTCCTGACATGGTGGAGTTCAGCAACTTCTGTGAGCTCTCTGATTCCAACTGAGTCCAGATAAGTTTAAGTGAATCTTGACATAGCTTCTTAAGCAAGAAAAACAAAACAAAACAAACAAACAAATAAACAAAAAAAAACATTGTGTTTCTCTCCCCAGTTTCTTTAAAACTGCCAAAAAGCAGGAAAAAGGCTGGAATGAAATGCCTCAACTCCGCACTCTAGGCTCTACGTGGGAAAATGGTGTTTGTGTTGCACGGAAAGGAAGCCTGCTGCAAGGAAGTAGGAAGTAGAAATTCCTGCTCCCCAAACAGAGCAAATGGAAGAAGGGAAAAGGGAAGGGGAGGGGATGGGAAGGGGAGATGAAGATGCAAAAAGAACCCAATCATAACAACAACAAAAAAAAGGCACAAAAGTAACATACAGACATGGTTAAGAACTGGTGCTTGTTTGCAGGTGATGTGAATCCAGCTAGCACAAGCACAGACCATGACATTTGTATTCCACATGGCCCGATGTTATTCCTGCTGTGAGGGAGCCCCTGCCTCAGGGTGCAGCCCTGTGTGCAGCTAGTCACTCTCCCGTGTTCGGGTATTGGTGTGGAAGACCAGAGCATCCAGCTGCTTCCCTGTTGATTTCTGCTGCTAGAAAAATAGGTTTTCTTGGCACAGCTCTGCCTCTGGGAGATGGGAAATTGCTGTGCCTCAGAAGGGCTGGAGCAAGGAAATCTGCCTTCCTCATGATGGACACGAAGAGCATGCTGTTTTGTCACCACCCTGAAGTCTCACTGGTAAGGAGCAGGCTGGTCTGAAATTCCCTGCTGACAGCACTTGACAGCAAGCAGCTCGGTTGCTCAGTGCCTTGCAGCTCTCCTAAAGGTGGCAAGCAAGCAGGCACTGCTCAAGATACATGGGTCAGCAGTAACCTCAGGGTCAGGCTCCTAAACCTTCTACCATCAGGGCTGAGGTCTAATGAAGATGCTGAGGCTCTGCAAGAAAGCACGCCTCTGCTCCTTGGAATCATAGAATCATTTGGGTGGGTAAAGACCTCTGTGATCACCAAGTCCAATTGTTCAGTAGCAAGGAAGTTAGAGTTACAAATTAGAGCGTCTACTGCAGGTGTCAAGGCATGACAGACTGACAGCCCGTCACAGACTCTGGTCCTGGCCCAACAACAAAGCCTAAGACAACTCCCAGATGGTTTAGAAGCCATCCAGAGACTCCTCCCCAGGCAGTTTGGTCGGGGCTACTCTGAAATGATGTGTGAAAGGATTTAATTTTAGGGACATGGGCTGATCCATATAATCTGAACTTGTTGACAGAGCATGCTCCCTTGCATATTTAATTTACTCATAAACACAGGCAATTTAATTAAACTACTGTCTGGATACGCCTGCAGTACTAGTAGCCTGGCATCAGTATACACCTTTGAAAGTGGAAGGAGTTTGGGAAGAATTTTTGGTACTGATAACATCAAGATGCATCGCTTGGCAAAGCCAAGAGGTTTTTATTTTGTTCCTGAAAGGAGGTGGCAGGGCCAAGGAAGATGCTGCTATAGTGAAAAGGCACACAATCTGAGGACTTCTATACAGCAAAGGAGGTGCAGATTCACTGGAATGGCTGTGAGTAGCTTTGCCTTTTGGAGAAGTGTCCTCTGTTGTCATATGGTGATGAGGTTGGCCATACACAAAGTGCCTGGGCCACTTCTGCTGGATGTTTCAGCAGATTCCCATGATTTCCTATGTCACAGACAAAAACAGAAGCAACAGTGGAAAGCAGATTTCAGCTTTCTCTAATAAACAAGTAAACAAAGTTATACTGATCATGTCCATCTATGAGGGTGGGGCTGTTGGGCAGAAAAGGACTCATGGTTGCTGATGTCTCTCTTGTTACACGTAGGCTGAGCCAGTAAGACCTTAATTCAAAAACCTGAGCCCCTAAATGCATGTGGAGACATAGCAATGGGGCCTGGCTTGGTGACTAACTGGGGTAAGAAATAAGTGAGCTATGCTCTGTGGGCAAGGCTGGGCAAGAGGAATATACTTCCCCATCTAATCATGTGGAGGGCATTCATTTCTTGAAGCAAAGATGCCTTCATTAGAAGCTGGATATTTTGTGGCAGTTGAAGGCATCAGATAAGTTGGTTAGACTGAACAAGTTATGAAAAAGTGGCCCAGGAACATCCAGAAATGTCTCCCACATTAGGACAACCTTCCTCCCTGCTCAGATAGCTTTCCTTTTCCACTTTATGATCCCAGTGACACCAAAGGCTGAAGGTGAGCAGCTGCCTGGTGGAGGCAACTGGCAGGGTCCTATGGGCTGGAGCAATGAGAAGTCATCCTAAAAAAAGAGGCAGGAGGACCCTATTGGGTCCACTCAAGGGTATGGTAGGATGAGAGGACCCTTCAGAACCAGTCCATCCAACAGAAGGGAAACACTCTCCAACTTCATTAGCAGCTTCCATTAATCGCTGAGTGGAAATACCTGTGCTCAGAACTCTATCTGCTCGTGGTGAGGAGCTAACCCAGGTCTCTTCCATAACACGCTCCCAAAGCTTTCTGTCAGAGGAATGTCTTTTATTGAATGTAAGCAGCATCATGCCGGAGGTCAGAGCTTCGCCGCTGCTGCATATCCCAAGGTAATATCACTTTAAGCTCCACATAAACTCTTAAACAGTTTCTATCCTAAAACCAGACCGTAGGTGGTACAGTTTTTTACGATATGTTATAATAGTGCAATAAATCTGTTAGCTTAAAATCGAATCTCCGTGGCCTTTTAGAGAAATCATCATTAAATGCAAGGCCCTGTTAATGATGCCATCCCAGTGAAATTGTTTAATCTGCTAGGGGGGTGAAAGGTCACCAAATGAATTTTTTATAATACATCAACTTGACACGCAATAGGGAAAACTGTAATAGATAAAAGCAAAGGAAAAGGGCACTGTCTTCTTCTGATAGGTCAATAGCAGCCAAGAGAGTCACTCATCCACTTTTCCTTCACTACCATGCTCCTTTTCCATTTAATATGGACACCCAATTAATACCTCAGCACCATAGACAACCTCATTTTAGGTGAATTATAGCAATTTCTTCCCCCTTCTCTGAAATGAAAGTGATCACAATACATCATAGCATTGTGCGAATTAACGTTAATTGATTCGAGTTACCAAGCATTGATGGGCCACTTCTATAATCTGG